CTGGAACTTTCCCAGTGCCTGCCAGTGACATCCTCCTGGGAGCTTGATATGGTCTTTTATATGTATTGTATCTATTTCATTATTTCCTTTTTATCTTATTATTAATATTTCATTAAAATTGCTTAGGTTGGGTTTTTTTTTTTTCCTAAACTCATCATTCTCTTTATTTCTCTTCTTCCTCTCCTTAGAGTGAGAAGTAGGGGAGAGCATTGAGGGTCTTCTTGTCATTGACCAACCCAGCCCAAACCATGACACGATTATAGCTTCCTGCTGGGAAAAGGTAGTTGTCTGTGCTGTCACCCTCAAGAAAGTCAGTCCAGAGCAGCAAAAACCTTGGGAAGGTTTGCCATCCAAGTCACCCACAGGATTTAGCATAGCTGACCAGTAGCTATTACTACATAAGAAGGGAAAACAGGACTGAAGTTAGGACTAGTTAATTAAAAATACTGCAAATGAAAATGTATAGGTGAAGCTAATGGGAGTTCTGGGAGCTTTCATTACTTATATAAACTAAAGAGAAATACCTTTTTAGCAAACAAAAATGCCATGTTAGTTATAGGGAGACCCACAAGCAGTCTTTTTATAATTACTTGTACTAAACTCCTTCATATTCTTGCACACCCAAGCTGAAAGAAATAGCCCTTCTAACAAATGGCTTCATTTAAGGCCTGTCTCAAAACACACGCATTCATATATTTTTGTCATTGATTAAAACAAAGGGCTTAGAAGAACTTCTTACTGCTGGGCATTATGAGAAATATCTCTGAATTAAATTATTTTCAATAGTGAAAACTATTAGCACATGAATGAAATTGCATTCTTTTAATAACAATACTGTCTTTTAAAAGACATGTTGCACTCACCCGGAGATACATGGTATTCTGAGTATGGATGCATCCAAACCCCAAAACTTAGTCGAGAATCTTCTTTTGTTTTACTTCTGCTTGTTAACTGAAGGGGCAAACTGAAACTATTTGGTCTGTATTGTTTCTGTACGAAACTCAGCCCCATGCACAGAAACAAGCACACAGTTTTATACCATACAAGACTTCAAAATAGCAACAATATAGAAACTGCCGAGTGGGATGAAACCCAAGGCCAGTGCCTCCAGTACCCATCTCTGAGAGAGGAAGGACCAGATGTTTCAGAGAAGGTTTAATGAAACATAATTAGTAGACAGTCATTGGTTTATTTTATTCTAGCTTGTATATCTTCTGGTTTATAGTTTGTTTGTGAACAGATCTGTGTATGTATCTGAGACCTGAGCAGAGAGTGATTAGCTGAATCCCATGGTTTTGTTCAGGCATAACACTGGCAATCAGATTTCCTGTGTGGAAACTGTGAATCCAATTTTCACTCCCAATGACTGTTCTTTGCATGTGCTTTGTGTCTGCCAGTAACTTCATGTGACAGAATAGTCCAAACTTGCTAAAATTTCTGAACATTTCAAAGATGCTTAAGCACTGTTGGAGTATAAAAAACTTCAGAATGAATTTTCATGCCAGTTACCAGAGCTCTTCTGGCATACACTTTAAAGATTACTTCCTCTCCCTCCTCCCCAAAATAGTTATTTAGAGCTTTTAATATTTCATATACAACCCAAATTCACTCCTTGTAATGAAAATAGAAAGTGCCATCAGCAGCCCAAAAGTGCATGAAATACAGATTAAAAAAAAAAAAAAAAAAAAAAAAAAGAAAGAAAAAAAAAATTAAGGCATTCCACCAGCTAAAATAGAAAGACTTTCTGGGAAACAAGAGCCCATCCAGGTCAGCATCAAATCAGTCTGTTTCACTTTTGTGTTTTCTTTTATAATTAATTTTCTTTAGACCCACAGGAAATGAAAAAAAAAAAAAAAAAAAAAAAAAAAAAAAAAAAAAAAATTATCATGTTCATGTTGCCTTTTCTATATCCATATAGGAAATGTCCCATCCACAGTCACTGTACTGTACAGATGTTGTATAGAAAGGATACACCCCATACTTCTAGCAGGCTTTCAATGCCTCTGAGAATACCAGAAGGCTTGCAAACTTTAAAATACTTCTTTTTTGTGTCAGAGAGCTAGTTATTGTAAGAATTGCTGTTGACCGTATCTACAGAAAATTCTATTATTGCACAGTATTGCAATAGCAACCCAATGCCTCATTCACTAGACAGTCATTTAGGCTCACAGCATCATACCCTGCAAATACCAACAGAACGAGGGCTCATCAAAAACACGAATGATCTTGAAAATACTTTGATTCATGTTTTAAGTTGGTAGAAGGATGTGAAAGGTCCCAAATCAGCTCCCATTTCATTACAAGTAGAAATATCAGCACCATCCTCCATGTCAAGCTGCTCGTTATCATCTGTGTTCAGCCAAGCCCCTTACCTCACCACATGTTCATAAGCTAGAATCCAATTAATTAATGGAAATCCGCAGCATACATACAAAGATATATTATGTCCATAGAGCAGAGGTATCTATTTCCTACTTCATGAAGCTACATTCATCACAAGTAAGGACAAAAAAGCCCATAAATGAAGCCAGTAAGGAGACCAAACAATTAATAACTGTGAAACTTCTTTTGGGGGTCTTATCTCTGCCTTTGGACTGGTTTTGTTAAAAAATGTCATTGACTGACAGATATATTTTATCCAGAAACATAGACTAGGTGATTTTTTGGGAGTGGGAGGCCAGAGTAAGAGGGTAGGGAAGGTACAGGGAAGAGGTGAGAGAAAATAGTTTATTTATTAAAAATGCAGTTTAGATGATCTAGATGAATTTGACTTTGTTCTCTTAATAAAAGACAATTATTTGTTCTATTAAAGAGGGGGTTGAAGAAATATTACTGAAACATATTGATTTTTGTTTCAGAAAAATGATTAATGGTACTTAAAGAAACAGACTGTTAAAAAAATGAAATTAAATTTGTTATTTGAGCCACAATTATTTTTTTTCTTGGATTTTTCATATTGATGAATAAACCAATTATTATTCCAAATCAATCTAAGCATTACAATTTCATTACAATTTATATCTGAAAGGCAAGTGATATGACAAGCTCTTCATGAGATACCTTGATAGAAGAAGAAGAAAAGAGATTGTCTTTTCTGCTAGAGCTGTTAAAATTATATTATTAACAGATTAATTAATTGTTGATAACTATATCTTGCAATGTTTTTAACAAAATGTCATAAACAAAATTGCAAGCCTGAATAATGAACCTTGGAATAATGACTAATTGGTAATTAATGTCAAATATCCAGAAAAAGAGGGCCCTTTTTTCATAAAAAAAAAGTAAAATTTGCTCCTTGATTGATGCCTTGCAACTAATCTTTTAATATGAAATGCTTTTGAGAAGTCTTCAAGATTGACATTTGAAATCAGTAGGTGTTTTTAAATCCAAGACTTCCCTCCCTGCTTGCAAGACTCATGGCAGACTAGTTTGCAAACAAAATCCAGGAATATCAGACTAGAGGAACCAAAAAGACAGTGCTAGCTGAAGTCTACATCTGCTTTTTAAAGGAAATAAAGGTATTGGGAAGAGTGGATTTGAAATGAACTTCCAGGAGAAGATCTAAAAGGAACACAATTCTCCTTGGTGAACTGTGACTGAGAAAGCTTTCTAGGTATTGGCAGCGTAACAGAAAAACCCAATGATAAGAAGTTAGAATGATAAGATGACAAGAGACCACCTCATCTAAAATAAGATGAAGCTAACAGGACTGATAAAGTGTTAGAGCTACGAAACATTTCAACATGAAACAAGAGAAAGACTTCCATAGGAATGCTATGCTTCGTATTTACTATTTTATCTGCATTCAGTTATTTTAACTAGGGCTAAAATGAGTCTATTGAAAAGCACAGGAACTTTGCACAGGAACTGTACACACAACCTAAGACAAACCTCATCTGTATACTGTGAACAAAATATTCCATACAAAAGGGATTTTTAATTCATTTTGTCCACCCTTTTTTCTCCCAACAAGGTATCACATTAAGGCTCAAAAAATGATCGAACTGGGTGTAGGCAACATTAAAGCTCTACTGCATGCAAATGGTATCACCCAACGCCCCCATTAAAACCCATAACAACGAAAGAGATGGCCAAAAAAGTGTCTTTTGCAAGCTGTACCTACAGCATACAACCACAGTCAAAGTGGAATTCCACAGGGAAAGCATACAAGCCAGCCTAGCAACCTATGCTCAGTGAGATTGTGAATTAGCACTTCAACTTGACGTTGTAGTACCCAGCAAATTAGATCATTAACTGCAATTTCATTCATTTCACAATTGCATTCAGATCTACAGAAATTGTGTTTATAAATTTCCAAAGCCATCTCCACTTCCCAACAGCCACTCTAGTACTGCTGTGTCATTCCTGTGGTGTTAAAACACCATCTCTGGAGTTCTCATCAGACAAGTTTGTTTGCAGTGCTGATATTATGGTAGGTAGAGGGAGATGGACAGCACCCAGCAAAAAAACCCCTCAACTTGCAAGGCTTTGAAAAAAACACAAATATCAATGCAACGCATGAGGAAACTAGGACAACAAGAGAAAAGAAGGGAGAGAAAGAATAAAATTAAGCACATCTGGAAAATAACTTCCTTTTCTAATTAAAAATTATAGAACTCTGTAAATTTCAACAAATTTTTCAGATTAGATACCAACAGCTGCATTTTGAACATATTTATAATAGATTTTACGAAGTTTCTTCAACAACACAGAACACCGATCTCTCAGAATTAGTTGACGAATGTCTTGAAAAACATTTTTATGAAAAAAATTTGACTATACATATTTGCTTACCTGATCAGTTAAAATAAATTCGCTGGCCTGAGCAGAATGCATTGTAAAAGAAATCTGTAAAGAAAAAAAAAAAAAAAATGAACATATTTATAATAGATTTTACGAAGTTTCTTCAACAACACAGAACACCGATCTCTCAGAATTAGTTGACGAATGTCTTGAAAAACATTTTTATGAAAAAAATTTGACTATACATATTTGCTTACCTGATCAGTTAAAATAAATTCGCTGGCCTGAGCAGAATGCATTGTAAAAGAAATCTGTAAAGAAAAAAAAAAAAAAATGTTTAATCATAATTCATTTCTCTCTCTCATCTTTTTGATGACAAATTAGTAACAAAGAGTTGTTACTATTATATAGAAATCACAAGCAGCAAAATCATACTAAACCAAAATCTTCTTAAAATCAATTAGGTCACTGTTTTCCCAAAAGAATCCTGACTGTGAGGCAGGATTATATTTATAAACAATGGTACTAAAATACCAACAGACATAGTATACTGTGATATTCAAAAGGATTAAAGGTATCTGCTATGTATTTGGTAACAACTTTTGTGTCTTTTTATTCAAATACAAATGCATAGCTATTGTTTTCTTAAAGGATTCTCAGATTTAGAATATGTCCATCTGGTTAAAAAAAAGCATAAATTTCATATTAAATGTTCATCAGGGCATTTGAAAACACAGAGTTCGTTTGCTTTCTATAACTTCTCACATAAACACAGTATGAAAAGAATGTTATTAAGACTGTGATGCAACTAATAGAAATATTGGAAAATGGCAAATGTTAGCCTGCCTATGCAACTTTTATTTCTTCAATGAGTATGGAATATGCTACAGTTGCTTAGTCCCATAGTAGTCTTCATTCCTTGTACAAACACACATTCAAAAAGTTCAAGCACTGATATTTTGTGTTGATTTCATTGCTTAACATCTGGACTGGAAAGATATTTATGGAGTAGTATTCAAACCCTGATAGAAAAACGGCAGTCTGTTGCTTTAGTCTGTACTCTCTAATCATGACTGAATCACACGGGCTCCGTTTTTTCAGAGGACTCAGCATTACTCAGTGCTTTATACATTCAAGGTACATGATGGTTTCAGTTGAAGACAAATACCAAGCACAGTGCAGATTAGGTGACAAACTGGTGTAACAAAAATGGGGAACACTCTAAACCTTGATGCAATGCACTTCACATCTTGATGTGTGAACTCTGTGTTAAATCAGAGGACTGAATTTTATTCTCCAGGGCTTTAACCAGCTTTGTTATGAGACTTCTTTTTGTTTTCCTGAGAAGGTCTCAGTCAACAGATACTTCTACTTTCTGTTTCTGAACAGGACTGTCCCTTACTACAAACCAAATTCACCCTCAGAGATGTCTCATCCAGTCACTGTCTAGATCAAGGAGAGTATGAAAAAGTGTGTTACCAAGTAAAGAAAATCTCCCAACATGCATTTGCAGAGGATGGTTACATCAAGCTGCACAAGCCACGCTACTACTGTTTGACTTTAGCACTTCAATAATGTTATAACACAGGTTTTCTTGATAAGTAAATGTCAATTCAGGGTGTTGGAAATGGAAAAACCTTCAGAAATTCTGTTAGGAGGTGGTAGCTGCCAACCACAAACACCAGTTCTAGTGCTGGAATGTGTGGATGGTCCTCCTTGAGGTCAGGCAATAACTGACAGCATACCATCCTTACTGCAAACTGGTATGACAAAAGGTTCACTTGGCAGCATTTCACTAAATACTAGTTGACCACTAGGAAACTGACTAAAGAAACAGAGTTTCAATCCTGGACTCTGGAAATGAAGTCTTATAATGGGAAGTGTCATATGATGTCAACGAAAGACTCTTGAAAAAGACTATGATAACACAGACAGACAGTTCTGTCACCTCTCTTCCATTCACCAGACACAGCAGTTTCTGGCATACAGAACATCATTCCCTATACGAGTATTGACCAATGCACCTTGCATTTTTCAGTAAAAGACAAGCCAGTGACCATGATGCTGAGAATTTTGCAAACAGACCAATAAACAGCAATGAGGAAGGGTACAGACATACTGCAGACCTTGCCAGATCAGCCCAATTATCAGCAAACACTCGAGTGTATGCAGCTAATAAAATACAGTTTTCTGTTGGTTACACCAGCATCCTTCTGATGTAGCCAGACTACTTTATTTTTATTTAAAAACTGGGATCTGGGTCAAGCAACTTTGAGCTGAAAGGGTCATATCCTCAGCATTTCCTTAGCCACCTTCTTGTTTGTGCTTCTTGAGAACTTCTGTCTCATTTCAGAAAGTCCCATTTATCATGGGACTAATCTTCTTCATCCGAACTTCAGTCCTGTTACTGGGTTTGCACCACTGGACTGATGCAACTGTGCAGGTCACTGTAGGTAAAACAGTTTCTCTGCTCAAATCTAATAGCAGGAAACTTTTCAGTGATTTAACAGCAAGAGAGTTTGAGCAAATGCAAAACCAGTTAAAAGATGATTGATGATAGTGTAAAGGATAAACTGAACAGTGGTCACCGTGCTTTTGTAAGATTTGCTGTACGGAATCCCTTACTCTGATGCTATACACAGAAGTGGAATGAGTTTTACCAGGAAAAAACAAACCAAAATGAAACAAAAAAACAACCCAACCAAAGAATACCCCAAAAACCATAAACAGAACGTGTACTGCTGCGCAATCAATTTGAAAAACATTATAGAATCATAGAATCATAGAATCATAGAATGGTTAGAGTTGGAAGGGACCTCAAAGATCATCTAGTTCCAACCCCCCTGCCATGGGCAGGGGCAACTCCCACTAGAGCAGGTTGCTCAAGGCCACATCCAGCCTGGCCTTGAACACTTCCAGGGATGGGGCATCCACAACTTCCCTGGGCAACCTGTTCCAGTGTCTCTGCACCCTCATAGTAAAAAATTTCTTCCTGATATCTATGGGTTCAGAACAGCGAGACATTCAGAAGAATACCTGTATCCGCGTGTTTAACTAAAGCCATGTCTGCCTGAGAAAGACTACTTCTTTGGGTGCTTGAAGTCCACAGTTTCACTGATGACTGTTCCTCTACCATTTCCTGACAGTATTGTAAGGAAAGCTTTGGATTTGAACTCCAGCCACACCGGTTATATCCTACCATCCCCAACCACTCATGGTTAGACTCCAGAACGAAGAACATCACAGAATCACAGAATCTTCTAGGTTGGAAGGGACCATAAAGATCATCTTGTCCAACCATCAACCTAACTGACAAAAATAGACACCCACACAACAAACAAGGAACATCATCACAGAGGTGGTCCTGATGATTACATTTGTTTAGCATCGGAGAGGAAACATCTTTCACTGTTAGACTTTCAGGTAGCCTTTCAGTAACAACATGATATGCATGAAAACTAGCAAGAATAAGTGGGTTAATGACAGACCAGATGCAATTTGCTTATCTTGGCCACATCTCAAAGCTCTGATGGACACCCATCCCTGCTGATGCAGGCACTGCTGCCAGCACTTCTGTACCAGTCAAAAGCTCTAAACATATGACTGCTCTGGGACAAAAAGGCACTTTTTTGCATCAGCAGCTCTGCTTCCCTCATCAATTATGTCACAGTCTCTTTCAGAACACAAAATATTGCTCAACCCTCCTTAGTCTACCTGTAGCTGTATTGCTAAGAGAAAGTAACTTGGACTCTTTACCTATTAATGAATCCCAAACAAACTGTTATCCCCAGTCTCACTGGAGTAACAGGCACCATCAAGAGGCTGATGGGGGAAGAAAGGACTTTTTTACCTGTGATAAAGTCCAAACAGGAAATGAAGCAAGTTTGCCTTCTAGTTTGCAGAGTCTGCAGACTCACTCACCAACTTCTCATTTTCGAACTGAGCACATATGGTATGATGTAAAAAGCATCAAGGTACTGAGACAATTCTCATGCAATTCTAAATATACAATTTTTATGGTCACTTTTGAGAAGATAACAGTGTTGTTACTCTCTTTTTATCCTTTAAACATTTAATAGTAATCCTATTTTATGCGTATTAAGTCACTTATAACGAGATTTGTGAAGGTATTGATTTCAATGGGAGTTAAGAGCTAAATATCTTTATATGGAGACACAGCCTTCATCCTATTAAATCTCTACATTTATTGTCTGCACACAAATCATTATGAAGTAGGCATTATTCAAGAAAAAGCTCAATAGCAAGAAAAAAGTCCAATTAACAAGGAATTCAATGCAATTATGGAAGTTCGGAAGTTGCCTGGGGTTGTGTTTGCCTGCAAATCATTGGGGAAGGATGAAAAGGGAAGAGTTTGTTTCATCCCCACTTCCAAAGTATTATTTTCACTTCAGCTCTACATTATTAATTTTTAAAACCTGAAGTATCAGGACTTCTAAGAAAGTCACAGGTTAGGAACAAAGATGCCATTAACTGGGTTTCTGGGGGATCTTTATTTTGCAACACTATCATCAGTGCTGAGGTTAGCCCTATCAATAGCTACAAGGCAACAGACTGGGGTTCTTGTCTATAGCTCTTGGATGTTTGTAGATAATTAAAATGGCTTTTCTGACCCTAGGCTTTTAGACATTAGGTTCAGGTCAGCAGAAATAATGCTGGAATGTACACTTTAATGCCTAAACTTCTTACCTCCAATTCCACCCCTATTTATGTGAAAAAAAAAGTTAAAGAAATAAGAACTGAGGACCAATAGAAATGGACGCTGGCTAATTAAAGTAAGGATTTTTTTAAGTACTGAAAACCATTTTATTTTATTATTATAGACTCAATCTTTCCATAAAAAATGGCACTATAAATCATCCAGCTAACAATGTAAAGTCAACAGATAAAAGAAATCTACTAGTCTATATGCCTGCCTAAGGGACACCAAAAAAGTTGGGGAGACGGGGTGAATCACAGTTGAATATCCTTGTGATAGCATCAAGGCATTTCACAGCGTGTATTTCATTGCAGTGTTTTTATGGCCCTTTGAAGTACAATGCTGTGATGAGCTTCATACACCTTCTTACACCAGCAAAACACTTGGCTGGTTACAAACACAACAGAGAATGTGTCCAGTGAACTCTGAGAGCTGCAAATGCCTGCCTTCCAGTGTGCAACAGATTTTACCTCCCTGTCAGCTACTCACAGCGCTCCAGCTTGGAATTGGGTTTCTGTTCTTAGGGTGGATTCAGATATATCATGGTAAATCACTCTTAGGGTGGTGGAGATGTTCATTTTCTCAGTTTTTATC